ATATGAATATATATATATATATATTGCTATTTATTTATTTTATTTTAAATTTAAAAAAAATTGATTTTTTTTCATATTTTTCGGAATTTTTTAAAAAATATGACATGGTATGCTGATGTGGCAAAAAATCTATGTGGCGTGCCACGTCAGCCGCCACGTGGCGTGCCACGTCAGCGGTTAACAGACATTTAACACCGTTTTCGGATTGTGTAGGAAATTGCAGTTAAATTGGGTAGTTCGTGTATCAATTTGGCACATTTGATAATTTGGTGTAGTTTTTTGTCAAATTAAAAATTCGTGTAGGAAAAGGTCACATTTTGCAAAGTTGGTGTAGGAAAATGTCATTTTCCCTTAATATATCCATTTTTAATGATTGTCATGTTATTTTGTTCTTAGAAAACGAATATGGCTAAATCTGCGGATACCATATTGAAACTATGAATGAGGATGACACTGAGTATTTATATATCACTTCAATCAATTCGGGATAAAAAGTATGTGTTGAAAAAATTATCCATTTTATCTTCGAGATTATATTATATTGATATCAATGAGATTGAATCACATGTCATAGTAAACCAGAAGTTTACTGATACATTCAAAGTTTGACATGATCGATTGAGTCACTCTGGTGCCATTATGATGAAAAAAATCATCGAAAACTTTCAATCGGATGCGCAGTATATGTCACAATTTCTCCATCATAACGTACAAAAATAGGACCACAAGGGAGACTTAGAATATATATTGGGTACGATTTTCCATCCATTATACGATATATTGGGCCACAAACTGAAGATGTTTTTACGGTTCGTTTTGCTGATTATCATTTTAATAAAACTGAATTCCCACCATTAGGGGGAGAAAGATATAAAATGGTGGAAATGAAAATGAAATTAATTGATGTACATCATCATTATCCCACTTTGATCCCCCAGCAAAACAACGAGAACTAGAAGTTCAAAGGATTATACATTTGCAGAATGTTGCAAATCAGTTACCTGATGCATTTGCAGATATAACTAGTGTAATAAGATCATATATAGATGCTTCAAATGTTTTTGTTCGGATTGAAATTCCGAAAGAATAAATGAAAAAAAATTCGACAAACGATTCCAAAACATGCCTGAAGCGTGGACGACCTATTGGTTCTAAAGATAAAAACTCCCGAAAGAACAAAGGGTCCAAGAAAAATGAAATGCTCGATTCGGAGGAACGCGTTCCCGATCAAAGAAATGAAGTACCTTGTGATGATAGTACAAATCCATATAATGAAAATCATGAGATCTCAATTAATTATATCAGTAATGGTACATTATGGAATCGAAAAGAAATCAAAGAGATTGATGATATATTCTCTTATAATATATCAAAGGAAAATGATGAAAATGAGGATTCAGAACCCAGATCTATTTCGGAGTGTCAAAAGAGTTCAGATTGGAATAAATGGAGAGACTCAATACAAGCTGAATTAGATTCGCTTAATACGCGAAAGGTATTTGGACATATTGTTATTAAACCGAATGAAGTTTCTCCTGTTGGATGTAAATGGGTGTTTATGCGGAAAAGAAATGAGCACAACGAAATCGTAAGATATAAAGCTCGTCTTGTAGCACAAGGATTTTCCCAAAGACCAGGAGTAGATTACGAGGAAACTTATTCTCCTGTTATGGATGCTATTATATTCTGATACCTAATTAGTCTTGCAGTTTCAAAGAATTTAGAAATGCGTCTGATGAATGTTGTTACTGCTTATTTATATGGGTCACTTGACACAAGTATCTTTATGAAAATTCCTGAATGATTTAAAATGTCCAAAACATTGAAAACAAAACCACAAGAGTTATGTACTGGCAGGTTACAACGATCATTGTATGAGTAAAACAATCAGGACGTATGTGGTATAAACGTCTGAGTGAGCATTTATTGAAAAAATGGATATACAAATGATCCTATATCACCATGTGTATTTATCAAGAAGACGATATTTGGGTTTGTGATTATTGTGTATACGTTGATGATTTAAATATTATTAGAACTCTCTGTGAAATCCAGGATGCATCCACTTATTTAAAAGGGAATTTGTAATGAAAGATCTTGGACAAACCAAGTATTGTCTTGGGTTACAGATAGAACATTTGAAAGATGAAATCTTTTTACATCAATCTAATTATACAAAACGGATACTAAAACGATTCAACATGGATAAGGCAAATCCACTAAGTAGCCCGATGGTTAATAGAAAATTGGACATTGAAAATGATCCATTTCGTCTTCGCGAAGATAATGAAGAGATACTTGGTCCTGAAGTACTGTATCTAAGTGCCATAGGAGCTCTTATTTATCTTGCAAATTATACTAGACCGGATATATCATTCGCTACCAATCTATTAGAAAGATATAATTATGCCCCAACACGAAGACATTGGAATGGGGTTAAACATATATTTTGTTATCTTCAAGGATCTATTGATCTTGGATTGTTTTACCTTAAAAACACAAAACAAGAAAATTGTTGGTTTTGCAGATGCAAGTTATTTATCAGACCCACATAAAGGCAGGTCATAAACAGGCTACGGCTTCACAATCAATGGAACTGCATTAGTCTGACGTTCTCCAAAAGCAGACTCTAGTTGTTACATCAGCTAATCGTACCAAGGTCATCGCATTATATGAGACGAGTCGAGAATCATTATGGTTGAGATCATTATCTCAACATACTCAAAAGGCTAGTGGATTATCTATCGACCAAGCTCCAACAGTATTGTTTGAAGATAATATTGCGTGCGTTGCACAGACTAATAAAAGGAGTCTTCAAAAGTGACAGAACAAAATTTATTCGCATACACCCAGGAACTTGAAATGAATAAGGAGATTGAAATCAGATATATACGATCATGTAATAATGGAACAAATATGTTCACCAAGGCTCTTTCGACAATAGTGTTCAAGAAACATATACATAATATTGGGATGCGTCATTTATGAGACTTTTGATTTCTTGTTCAGGGAGAGCGTGTAGCTAACTCTTTTTTCCTTATTAGGTTTTATCCCATTGAGTTTTACTGATAAGGTTTTTAACGAGGCAGCGCCAAAACACGCAACCATATTTTACTAACGCTGGTTCAAAGGGGGAGTGTTATAAATAAGATATATTTATAGTGGAGCCCACCGTACTGTTCATACTGACTTACTATTCATATATACGATATTGTTCACATCGACCGTATATGTAAACAGTAACTTCGGGATTTATATAAATAGGTCATTTGGTTCATCCATTTGTACACTTTCAAGAAAGAGAGGGTAATAAAAAATAAACTTGTTTTTCATTTTCCTAAATACAGTTTTCGGTTTATAGTTAACGATCTAATATTTGGATCGTTAGTATTTCTTTCGATTTCATAACAATTATATAATTTTAGGCTTTATTGGATTTTTTTTCCACTTGACTCATATTACTTTTTTTTTTATTTATTCAAGACATTAAAATTCATTTACAGTTGACATTAATGGAGTCTATGTAGTATATGGTTTACATCAACATCACTGAAGAATAATAATTATCGCATGAAATAATTATATCTTATGGATGCTTTATTGGATCGCGTAATCATTCTTATCTAATATGTTTTTACAAATAATATATATTATAGGATATCTTCATGCACCGCAAAAAAAATTATAAGAAACCATCCGTTTAATTGCTTAGAAGATATGAGAGAATCTCGCATTGAACCAAAAGCGGAATTTTTTTTTTTTTGGGGTTTCCTAAGAGAAAAATTGAGAAGTCAAAGAAATTGGCATAATAAATTTACCCAAAAATAAAACAAATTGCAATAATGAAGAGAATCCAAGAATTACCAAATGATAGGTCATGCAAGATATAAGTTACCATATTTCAAGATTTCGCATTTATTTCTCTTTTTCCATATTCATCAAGAAATTGGGAATTTAAAAAAAAAACAATTCAGGACTACTAAAAGGTAAACACTCTGTTCTTGGATTCTCATTTTGAAGAACAAACGATGATGAAGTCACCTTGCCTTGTCATAGGTTGTCTCTTCCTTGTGATTCTCTGGTTATTGTCTCACCCCTCGTGCGGTCCGTACACGAGTAGGATCAGTGAAACCAGATTTTCCTATACTCGGCCTGTAAGATCAATCAATAATCATATTCCATTATACTTTCTGTGCCATAATGGGAAAAAAAACACCATGATGAGTATTTGAGTTTTCCTTCCTGGTCATAGGATTCTTCCGGATTGTCGAGATTACTAAGAAGAACGAAAATGGAGGACAGGACAGTCATAGTTACCACGGTGAACCGAGAATGGGCGAAACCCGGGTCTCTGCTCGACTTGTTCCTGGAGAGTTTTCGAATTGGGGAGAGAACCAGACACCTGTTGGATCATGTGATTGTTGTGGCTCTAGATGAACAAGCCCTTCAATACTGTAACAGAGTTCATCCCCACTGTTTTCTCCTCAGGGATTCTAGAAGAAAGTCAGCAAGAGAGGAAAGTTCTGCAAACCCAGATGGAATGGTCGGCGCTTGGAGGAAAAAGGCGCTGTTGAAAGAGATTCTAGAACTCGGGTACAACCTGATTTTCACCGTGAGTTCTCTCGTCAGTCACGACTAACTGCAGCAGCATTGTCCTTTCTTCTGCAAGTGTAAAGAGAGATTTAGAATTTGTGAGAAGGAAAACTGAAAATGCATTTATATGGCACACTTTCTAAATCTGTTTTATTACCTGTCCCATGACTAAAGATATGTGATTTGGATGCAGGAAGCAGATGTGATGTGGTTAAGGAATCCGGTGAAGCATTTGCACCCACAGCATGAACTCTCAGTTGCATGCAGTTCCTCTTCAGGAGATGGACAAGAAACCGCTGCAGATGACCATGGAGGATTCTTCTACATGAAATCAAATGAAGTTACCATACTTTTGTTAAAAGCCCTGAACATGGAGAGGGTCTTGTACCCTGCATCTGGAAAGCAATCTATCTGCGACATAATCAAGCGTGAAGATGTACACAAGGCGTTTCACCTACGAGTAACATATCTGGATGATTCTAACTTCACGGGGCTTTGTCAACCAAATGCGCAAGATCTGAGCAACATAAGCACAATCCATGCAAATTGCTGTCATGATACAGACAGTAAAGTGAATAACCTGAAGCTGCGTCTGGAGGACTGGAGAAAGATTACTGTTGGAGAAAACGGTATCCGGGGTATATCTACCTAGTGGAGAAGTCCAAGCAAATGCAAAAGAACAGTTCCTTTATAGCTATTGGAAGACAAAATATAAGAAGCCTAACATGAATAAGAACAAATTTATTGCCTGAAACAAGTTATCTGCAGAAAAAAACATTACAAGGTACCAGGAAAAGGGATTTACAGAATCTGAGTCATGCAAAGCAACTTACACAGGTAGAAGTATAATTAAAAATCAGAACTTGAAAGAGCCGAGATTTAGAATTCTGCGATATTCGTGATCAGTAAGGTGTATCTCCATCAGGCATGTCCCAGTTATCCTCCTCTCCATCTTCCTTCTTACTTTTGGTAGCTTCTTCCTTGTTCTGCTGAGAAAACCTCGACAGAGGTCGTCTGAAACGAACAAGACCGAACGATTATTCAAAGGGTTTTGGATCAAAATAACTCAGCTTAAACTCATCTATGTCCTATTGATTATGATTCTTGAAAGCCACAAGCCAAACATAGATTCTCTACATCATAGTGGGCATGCACGGGTTGTGAAACAGACGGAAACAATGGAACCAGATAAGTCCATTGGCATCAGCATATCCATATTGAACAAAACCATACAGAAATCCCATCAGCGGAAGTACAAAATGCGCAATGAACAATGGCCATGAAAGGATGTATCTTCTTCTCCAATCCTCAATATCTAGACCAAAGCAATGAAAGCTAGTCCGACGAACCAACTGACATGGGCATGCAATCTTCACAGAGCATTACAGACATTCAAACATTTGACCCACAAAACAGAAGATGCTGACCAAATTCAGAAAGAAATGAGATGAAACCTTTTCCGATTTCGCTTGGCAGCTTCGCGGGTCCTCCGCTTCTTCTCATCCTGTTTGTTCTCGAAGTATCTCCTCCGCTTGCATTCCTGAACGACTCCTGCTCTCATCACCTCCCTTCTGAACCGATTCAGCAGCCTCTCCTCCGGCTCGTTCTCATCCACGAGCACCTGCACGTTGTAGCCCGAGCTGAAGAAGAGCGTGTTCGCGTACGCGAGAGATGGACAAATCACAGAGGCAAGCTCAGAGGACAGCGACGCGGGAGAATCGGCGGAGGTAGGCTCCTCGGCCACCATTGATGCTAGAGCGAGATCATCTCTTCGTCTCTGAGAGACCGCCGGAGAAGGAAGAGGGAGATTCTGCGGAGGAGGAGCTTTCGTCTGCGATTTGTACGGAGATATGAACGAGATGAAGCTGGAGAGTGAGAAGGAGGATGCCATGAACGTCTGCGACGAAGAAAATGAAAGATTGAATTGTGGATAAGAAGAAATTTCCTCCCTTCTCTTGGTGATTTGGGGAAGGATCCGGTTTGCATATTCGGGTCAAATAACCGGGTTCGGATCCGGATACGGTAATCGGATCTGATAATGGGCTTTCGGCCTCAAGGCCCAATTGCTATCTTTTGTTTCGTTGGGCCCAATGACCGTATGAATCGTGATGGTCGTGTGCTTTTTTTAATTAAAAAAAAATCTTCCAACCAAATTAGTGGAGGTGAGCGAACGGTTCGGTTTATTCGATCATACTCGATTCAAGTTCGGTTATTTTAGATTTTAAAAAGTCATATCCAAATGATTATTTGATTTTAACGGTTCAGTTTGGTTCAATTCGATCTGATTATATCTAATTAAAATTATAATCAAATCAATGTTTGATTCGGTTATAATAATAAATCAAATAAATTTTGGAACACTAAAATGTTAAAGCCGTCACTTTAGTATATACTATAGTTATAAAACCGTACAAACATTCTCATTATACTAATTATTATACTAATTTTCTAATTACACATGGTATATATATTAGGTATTAATCAATGATACATATATGAACATTTTATTTATTCGGTTATGATTAATTCAGTTTCAGTTGTTTCGGATTTCAAAATTTATAACCAAACGGTTATTTAATTTCAATTGATTCGGTTCAGTACAGATATAATTCGGTTATTTGAAAACCGAATCATTTGCCTACCCTACAAATCAGAAAGAATATCACATATGGAAATACTTTATATACATGCTATTATTTAGTACTACAGTGAGATTCACGAGTCGATTGTAATTAATAAATATATTTGAGATTGAGTCCATGCAAAATTTATTATATTTATTATGAAAAAATAAATAATAAAATGATGACTAGCTAGTGGTATTAAAATAAAATCATCAAGGGTGCATAAAACATATTTGTGTGATGTCCATATATAGTTTCCACTACAGAACATTGGGCACATTGTTTCTGAATGTTCGCATCTTTGTTTAATATCCATTGGAGCTTGTTGAAATTTGTACATATCATTTTCTTCGTTTTTATTTTTCCGAATTTTGTGAAAAAAAAAATAATTTTTTTCCCTTTTCAAAAAACTTTAAAACTACCACACACACATTTTCATCTTCTTTCTCTGTATTTATTATTATTATTTTTAATTTGTATACAATTGCAAAATGTAGATAAACGATCTTTATGTGTGTTCAAATTATGATTCAAAATAATTAAAAGTTTCATTTTTTCTTGAAACTAAAAAACATTTAGTTTTCAGGAAATTGCGTGTTTGTTTCCCATATATATCTTTTTTTTTTATAAATGTGGATATATATATATATATATATATATGTAATAGTATTGTTATTTTTTGCACAAAATGACTCTACGTATCAATTAAATGAAAACCATAAACGATTATAAAAAAAAATGAAATCCATAAATAGATAGCTAACTCCCCATACGGTCGGTATGACCTTTACCTCGATTTCGACATTTCAAAAAATTAATGTATGATGATGGATGTTATTTGTTAATTTACCATATATAATTCCAAATTAATTACAAAGTTACACCCATTATTTAGTGTATTACATTTTCATTAGTTCCTTTTTTTTTTATATAATAGTAACATCAAAACTGTATAGTACCATTTTCCATGTATAAAGAAAATCGTCGATAGGTATGGACCGTCATGTTGACACATGATCTCTTTTTTTATAAAAGAAAATTCAACCCGTAGCGATAATGGTGAGAATCTACGTAAATTTCGTATTTATAAAACCAAAAGAAAAGAATTAATTTTATATGAAACTATGTTATGAACGCTCGTAAAAGGTACTTTGGTTATTTAAATAATAAAGTTATCAATTACTTAATCTAAAAATTTTGATCATGAAAAAAAGGAGGGATGTAAAGGTGGGCAGTTGTCAATCTTCCAGGACTCATTGTATCCAATAGCTTAACATCAATTATATTTTTATGTAAATTTAAAATTAAAAAAAAAGGTTGGTCCACAAATCTTTATGTTTTTCTTATATTTGAGAGTCATCCAATGTCTCGGATCATATAGTTTTTGCAATTTTTTTTATTTTCAAAGATGGGAAATATCATTTACCAATCAAATCGTTAGTTAATAAATAATTTGGTTTGTGCTAAGTACATCTTTTTAAAAGAAACCATAATCTAACTAAATCTCGACCCTTGAGTGATCACGCGAAAAAATCGGTAGCTTATGAATTGTAATTTTTATTTTATAAACTACGGTAAATTAAGAATAGAAAAATTGGTAATTTAGACTTGGTTTCCATTTTTTGTTAAAGTTATTTTCAGAAAAAAAAAATATTAATTTGTTTTTATTTTGTATATGAACTCGAAATGAAGTTATATGGTGAAATCATGAAATATATATATATATATATATATATATGCAAGTACATGAATATATTTTTATAAAAATTATTATACATACAAATTAAAAGTCACAACCTTCTGGCTTCTACCAATATGTTATTATAAAAGTGTAAAATTTCAATCTTTAAAAAGTAAAAGAATTATAGTGTTTATTTATTAACACTATTTTTTTTTATTTTTCTCTAATGGGACCAACTTTTAGTTATATGAGAGCGACTTCGTTTGTCATTTTCAATTTGTAAACCTTGCATTTGTGCGTATTATTATTATTATTATTATTATTATATATATATATATAATAATAGCCTTCTACATGCATATATACTGCAACTGCACCACTTGTACATTTAGTGTGTATATTGATACCCATAATTGGAGTTAATTATTTGATTAATAGGTCCACAATATGTTTTTCAAATAATTTACAATCACGAAATCAAATAATCAAATTATTTTCTTCTTGATTATACGAGTCTTATAGTTTTATTATATATAAAAACCAGCTAATAAAGATGCAATCCATGAAAGAGACTTATATATATATATCACCCATATTAGCTATCCTTTATTGAAAGCCACGAGATCATGCTTTATGAATATTTTTAGTAACCTACTACCTCAAATGTTTTTTTTTATAATCCGGAAGTTAACTACATCTCCCAGAGAATAGAAGAAACTCAGATGAATGTTTTTTTCCACGCTTGGGTTTGAACCCAAGGTGATCACTAGACCACCCAAACTTGGGTTACTGCTTCGAATGTTTAATTAACATGTCTTATATATTTGTATTAAAAAAACATGCCTTATATATATTTCACCAAAAAAATATATATGACATATATATATATATATATGTATCATAATTATTAATTATGCAATATATCATTACCGCATATAATTTATAAGAAGATTTAATCTTTTTTGGCTATAATCTTTATATTTAATCCCGCAAGTTGCTTTCGTAAATGAATAACAAAAAGATATGAATAAGATGATAACCTATATATATATGTACATACATATCTGTGTGTGTTTATATTCTATGGTTGTTTAAATGTCATGGAGTATAAAATAACTAACAGAAAAAGGGGTGAAATTAAAAAAGATTAAGAGAAATCCGACCCACTTAATTAGTGGATAGCCAACACAAATGAACGTGACATATGGATTAATCAATTAATTTAATTATTAATTAATTTTTTAATTAATATGTTAATGAAGAGAGGTAAAAGCACTTGGACGATATTAAAAGCTTAATCCAATACAATTGGGATCTTTCTCCTCTTCCCACTTCCTTGGTATAAACGCCGCATATTCTTTCTTATTTTTTGAAAATTTATACTCCATCCATTTAATTTTACATGAAAAATATATATTTTTTGTTTTAAAACAAGTGATGTTTTAAAATTTTCTATATATATATTTTTTAAATTTCCCTTAATTATTTTGCTTGCTTAAATATAATAATTCTCTACACATTAAATAAGGGTAATTTGGACAAAATATTTCTTTAGTTTAAATCTAAAATCGTAATGTAAAATAAAATTAAATAGATGGACTAATACATACATACATACATATATATATATGTCACTTGTGCCGTATGTTTCCTTGATAAATCAATATAAATATATATAATTCGAATTTGTATTATATAAAAATCTTTTTTAGTTTAAACAATGATATATAATATTACTAATTTGATAGAACTTATTTATATATAAGTATATAACATGCTACGTAAATACAAAGATATCATTTTTTTTGCCATTCACATTGTTAATTAACAAATAGTGAAAGAGTTATCCATATATTATAGATATATTGCCTTAGAACTTGAACTATATGATAGTGGACTGACAAATAAAACTTTGTTACATGGCAATGCTTATTGGTTATTCGTGTACCTACAAAAAGTTTGCTAAACTACAATATCAAAAAATAATAATTAACCCTAGTATTCTAATTCATAGTACCACAATATTTTAGAAAATCGATGTAATATTTTTAATAGTTTGCGAATGTTGCAGTTGAAAATGATATATAATTAAGTAAACTAATTAAGTTATAATATATATATATATACAACTTTTAGTTTGTAATTAATGGAGTCCGTGTGGCGCGGTTTTACTTCACCAACTGGATGTTAATGCTTGCCAAATTAACCAATTCATTAATTTATTAATGGGGGGCCATTTTTGCTTAGCCATTTTCACAAGTGGGAAAGTAAAAAAAAAAAAATTAAAAGGAAATTATTTTGCTCGACAATAGCGACTGTCTTTTTCTGTCCCTTTAGAAAATTACAAAACCAGTAAAAAAATTATTAATAAGCAAATTATCATTTTATTAAAAATCATATAAAGAAAAAAAGATATTAATGTAAAAAAAATCCGAAAATCGGTAAATTTGTGGAAACAACGCTGTGAACAATAAGGGATAAAAAAGATTTTCTATGAAGCTTTTTTAAGATTACAAAATAAATGTTTCTTAACCTACTAAAACTTATAAATCCACCTTCAATATTTAAAATCTTTGGTGTAACAGTAAAATGTAGGAATTTATGCCTCCATTGCAAAATAACATTTTGAAGTTGAGCGTTTAGAAAAATTAAAGATATACATTTCGAGTTTTGATTCAGTTTAAATTTGATTTTTTTTCCGATTTATTAAAAAACTTATTTTTAAAACAAGTTTTTTTTATCTAATTTTTTTTGAATTTTGAATTTGATTTAAAAAATAATATGCGACCACTTAATTTGATTTGGTTTGAATATCGAAATGTATCTAACTGTACTTGAGAAAATATTTTTTATTTGCTAGATGTTTTTCCTTTTGTTCAATTGCCAAATGCAACGTTTATTTTTTTTAAAAAAATCTTATTTGCATATACGTTTTCAAATACTAACGACCGATAAGTTTCCATCAAACCAGAGTAGGATTTCCATTATATAATCTTTCATTTAATTAATTTATTATTATTAGCTTTTATTTATTTACTTTCTATTTTTGTCTCTTCGTGAAAATTCCTTTTCTTCTCCCCCACCCTCTCTCTCTCTCTACATTAAGATACTTTGTATATATATATATATATATATATATATTTTTGATAACCGGGTAATCCCATGCCCAAACGGCCCAGACTAATCCCGACCCACACGCACAACCGGCACCACACGTGTGGGATGTGAAGCACCCGAAGGTGGCCGGAGGGGAAATCTCCATACACTGGTGTTGAAAGATACTTTGTATATTTGTATATACTCCTATATATATTCCTTTATATTATATATAAATGTGATATATCAATCGCTTTTTATGAATTTTTTGGTGGTGATTCCTGAAAGAATAATCGAATATAATTTTGTCATTGTTCGTTCATGGCTTTAAAATAAATGGATTTACGGATGCTGCGTTATGACAATAAAAACAAGTTCTTTCTGGCAAATTCCAAATTAAGCGATGAGTCCCCTTGATTCAGGGCTGCAATTATTTATCACGGCCCAGACTAATCCCGACCCACACGCACAACCGGCACCACACGTGTGGGATGTGAAGCACCCGAAGGTGGCCGGAGGGGAAATCTCCATACACTGGTGTTGAAAGATACTTTGTATATTTGTATATACTCCTATATATATTCCTTTATATTATATATAAATGTGATATATCAATCGCTTTTTATGAATTTTTTGGTGGTGATTCCTGAAAGAATAATCGAATATAATTTTGTCATTGTTCGTTCATGGCTTTAAAATAAATGGATTTACGGATGCTGCGTTATGACAATAAAAACAAGTTCTTTCTGGCAAATTCCAAATTAAGCGATGAGTCCCCTTGATTCAGGGCTGCAATTATTTATCTATTTATTGATAAATTGCTATATTTTATATTCTTGATTCGTCATCTATTTTTGTTTTCTTCTGGCTTTAATTTAATTTATTCAAGGATTTTCATATTTATTTACAGATGATGGTGGTGGAGAGAGAGAGAGAGAGAGAGAGAGAGAGAGAGAAAACACTGTTTTTAGGGTTTATTTATTTATTGATTTATTCTCTTCCCCTGCAAGTCTTTGGTCTCTTATAACCGTTCCTCCCTTCTTTTACTTCTCGACTTTGACCCTATCTCTCTTCAGGTACGTTTTCACACACACGCACATACGCACACTGATACACACTCGTGTATGCATATGCGATCTGGGTTTTGTGTATTTGTATGCGATTTCAATCTTATTGTTCCTTAAATGCGTTTGCGTATAAGCATGTATGCATACTCGCAAGTGTTTTTTTTTTTCCAATTCGTGGGCAAGTTTGTGGCTTCAGTGATTAGACTGCTTCATACGGGAAGTGATGAAATTTTCTGTCCTGTTGGGTTAAATTCGTCATCTTTTGGTTTGTTTGGATTCAGATTGTCCGAAAGTTTCCACCTTTTTTTTTGTCTGATTGTGAACACGTCTGAATCGTGTTTGGGTTTATGTCCAGGCGATGGGCACCTGAAGTGAATCCTTTCTGTTTGTTTGGACTTGGGTTTAGCTTAAACCTGTTCTTATTGTTCGGTGAAAATTGATGCAAATCTTCGATTTAATCCCTCGTCTAAAGAGTTGCTTATTATATCTACATGTATATAACACCTTTGTCTGTTCCATCGTAAAAGTCTCGGCCTTTCTGCAAGTTTTTTGAGTTCTGCTCTGTTGGAGGTTCGGATCATATATAGCTTTAGATAGATTGGATTTGGGTTGTGACCTAAACCATGTTTTGGTTATCGATTTTCACAGGGAGCGATGTCGAAAGCCGAGGCAGGGATTTACCAAGAAATGGTGGTTCATGGCGGTAGGGTTCGGCTCAGTTCAAGCCGGTCTAGGCCGAGGAAGCTTCGGATCCTCGGCTCCAAGATTCCTGACCTGAATTCAGATCCTCCAGAAGTCGAAGACGAAGGCCAAGGATCGAGAGAAATGACTCAAACCCTGTTGGATTTAAAACCTCAGGATGCAGATTATGTTTCAGAAAACGTTCCTCAGCTCGCTTACGAGCTGGAAATCGAGATCTTAGCCCGAGTCCCACGCTTCGAGTACTGGAAACTCTCCTTTCTCAACAAGCGGTTTTCCCGTTTGCTGAAGAGCGGCGAGATTTTCAGGGTGAGACGAGAACGCAGGTTCACCGAACCATCCGTTTTCATGCTCTCCAGCGGCGACACTTGCTGGACAAGCTTCGACGAAAACTTTGGAAACTTCCAGAAGCTTCCGGAACTTCCCTCGGATATCTGCTTCTCTTGCGGCGATAAGGAATCATTCTGCGTCGGAACTCAGCTGATCGTTACTGGAAAAGAGGAGAAAAACGTTGCTGTTTGGCGATACGAACTTGAATCCAACAAATGGTTCAAAGGTCCTGCAATGATCACTCCGAGGATCTTGTTCGCCTCGGGGAAATGTGGAACGACCGCGTTTATCGCTGGTGGGATCAAGATCGATGAAAACGGGTCTTCAGAGGTCGTGAATAGCGCGGAGAAGTACGATTCCGAGACGAAAACATGGATGGAAATCCGGGGGATGAATAAGAGGAGGAAATTCTGCTCGGGTTGTTACTTGCGTGGCAAGTTTTACGTTCTCGGGGGCAGGGACGAGAACAACTGTAACCTAACTTGCGTAGAAAGTTACGATGAGGCAACAGACACGTGGGAACTCATCCCCGACATGCTCAAAGACATGCCCTTCTCGTCGTTCCAGTCGCCGCCGCTAATCGCAGTCGCTAACGATGAGCTTTACTCGCTCGAGACATCGACCAATGAGCTCCGCGTTTACGACGCAAACGCAAACGCGTGGAAGAAACTAGGGGTGGCGCCTGTGAGAGCAGAGTTTAACAACGGTTGGGGCATTGCGTTTAAATCGCTAGGGGATAGGATTCTGGTGATTGGAGCCTCGTCGGCTCCGTCGTGGGTGGAGACAATGTCCGTTTACACGTGTCGCCCGTCGCCAAACGCTGAGGAGCTGCGTTGGGAGGAGGTTAAACGCTGCTGTGGCGTTCGGCTCAGCCACTTTATTCTGTGTTGTTCTGTTATGTTCGCTTAGAACCATATGGAACGGATTGGGGATTGTGTGTGTGATTAATAAGTTGCGGCGATTCAGACGCCGAAACGTTATTGCGATTGCGGTTATTTCGCGTGTTGGTGTGAGAATTTAACGTTATTGCGACCCGGAATTTAGCGTTTGCGTCTCACGGATTGGACACAAACGCCGGTTTTCTGGTTTGTGTGAGAATAATACGTCTTGGGTCCTAGCGTTTAAATATTTGATGTTATTGTGTTTTGTGTGTTTGAGTGGCAATGGCTGTCATAAAACTATTATCAGTGACTTCTTTTTGTTCTGTATGTTTTTTCCCCCTTCAATATATTGCAATATTATGCAAGTTAAATGCAACCAGAATGTTAATGGGTCAAGCTTCGAGGAGAAGCCCATTCGGCCCAATGAAGTAGGATCTCCGAAAAAAACTTCACGCCGTTTTTTATATACGTTTTTACACTGCACGCCGTTCAGGTATGATTGTTTGTTTGTGGTGTCGACTCGTCGCCGACTGTCACTCGAGAGCGCTGAGTTTTTGAATTTTCTTTTGGAATTTTGGAGACGGGAAAGTGGAGAGAAAATGGCGGGAAAGCGTTCATTGCGGTAGTTTTCTTCTCCGCTTCTAAAACAGCCGCCGCCGGCGAAGGGAGAAGGAGCGACGTCAGCGTTCTATTGGAGGGAGGCGGTGGATGATAGCATGGAGCGCCTCCAATCGCTGCTATTCGGTGTCGACACTTCCTCGAGAAGCGCGATTTCTCCTAATTCAGATCCTCGGACCTCGTCTCTTCGAATTCCTCGATTCGCGTTCCGTCTCCGATGCAGATCGCGTCTTCATTCATCCCATCCGCCCGGAAGTTGCCTCAAAGGTCGAGGCAGCTTTGGAAGGACTCGTTTCGGATTCGGATCGGTACCTGATTTATCTATTTTGTTTCCCAGTTAATTCTATGCATATTTTCTTATTAGATGCTGAGCCTGTCAGAATGTTCTGTTTTTTGCTTGAGTTTTCTGGGATCGGATTCCTGCTCTTTCCTCTATAAATGCAAGAGGTTTTCAGGGTTTTGTGTCGGATCGATTTTCTGCTGGCCGAAGCATGAACTATTCATTCTGTGCTGAAAACTTAGCTGCAGCTATAGTGGATAAAGTGGGGTCATAGCTGGGATATGGAAATGGATAATAGCTGGAATGTTAAGTCATCTTGAAGATCAATTCATGCTAATCTGTTTCTGAAATCCTAACCTGTGTCTTCCTTGGTTCTAGACGGGCATTTGAACTTTGCCTAAACCGCTCCAGGCCTGGTCTTCAGCCGCAATGGCGAATTTGGGGTGGGAAAAGATTAAGCAGTCAAAAAATACTTCCGTGAATCTTCTTCATCAGTCTAATGGAAAGACGATTGAAGTGATGGTAATTTACTTGCGAACGGCTTCGTTTCTCACGTGAGCTTGGTATTGGTTTTGAATTCAGAAACACAGCCATAACCTGGCTTCTTCTGTCCAGTTCGGAAGTTACAGGCTGGAAGTTGCTGAGAGTTGGTAAGAGCTCTATGAAAGTTGTCCTTTTTTCATTTACTTCAGACACTTTTGTCATATTATAAATTTATAATAACGAGCTTACTGCGAGTCAAGGCTTTTAGGACCGATACGTGACTCCAAAAGAGGCTACTGAAGGAGGAAAGCAGTTGAAATATACGTATGATCACAAATACAGAAACAAGAATCTCATTATACACAGGTAGTTGTTTCTCTTGTCGCTGCAACAGTACAAGAATTTTATAACCCTCTAAGACTTTACAACACTGTATAAATCCAAGAACTCAATCTTGTGTCCTTTGTGAGAGACAAACCCTGAACCACTCAGAAAAGGTTCAAACCCGGCCAGGAAGCTTACCTATACATGCTTCCTTTTCTTTCTAATTGTTGTAGGTTCCACGCCATGCTAAATGCTTCCAACAGTGCTTGCCTGGCTAGCCCGCTTTAGGAGGCTTTTGTATTCAATACTCCGGGACCACTGGTCAATCTCACGTGCCCGCAGAACCGGAAGAGGATGCGAGAGTTGCCTCGTCTGAGCATTTCTGTATAGTGGATAAAAGAGACAGACAGTAAAAACACCAGAAACGGGTAGGCAAAGGTATACTCTGAATTCCAATTGACTCGTCCATAGTGTCTTAGCTCACCGAATGTACCAGCCCAGGGGGCTTGAAGAAGCTTTGTCATATGACCGAGCTTGCTCTAGAAACGCGTCAACATTTAGCTGATCGGCGATAGATGGGCAGCCTCCAGCTAGTTTCATAAGAACAGAGACGACCACCTCTTGCAGGCAACATTGGAAAGAAACGAGAAGGAAAAAAAACATGATGGGTATTTATTTACAGTAATCGTGATCAGTCCCTCAAAATGATTCAGGTATTTGTGGTACCTTGGGATCCTGAGCAACAAGAAGAGCTGCACGGTCACAAGTCAGCTCTGCTGCTCGGAGCCAACGAAGCAACTGTTCTTCCAGGGTCTGAGCTATCATCGTCCCGAATGCTGAAAACCCACATAACTTAAAATCGGGCAAACCCTAAAATTCCCATGTGCTATATTGTTTGATACAAAGTTCAGTTTACCGGCATGATGATACAGGCCAAGTTGCCATTGAAGAACAGGGAGAGATACCTTACCAGGAACTGTATAAGCCCCAAGGGTGAGAATGTTTGCAAATGTGAGCCACACTCCATGATCACACTTGAGATGACCTAGCTCATGAGCAATCACAGCCTAGTTTTTTTTTCGGGGTATAAGACTGGTCAGATTCTAACATTTTTTCTGGTACTGGCACAGGAATAGAATACAGAGCAAGAGCTGGGAATAGACCTGCAACTCTTCACGAGTGAGAAGCTCGACCAGGCTGGTGTGGACGACGATGAACGGCTTTTTACCACTAATTGCCAGCGTATACGCGTTCGGGACAGGACTTTGACGGACATAGAGATCGGGAGCTTCAATGTTAAGTATCTCAGATGCCTCGACCAACAAACGGTGAAGATCAGAGAGCTGTTTTTTTAATAACAACAACAACCATACAGCAAGAACAAAGACAATAAGATGTAATGATCTGAATGAAGGAAGGGAAGCCATTTTCGAAGACGAAGAAACCTGGTTCTTGGAGACAAGAACAGAAGTCCCTATGTTCTCGAGAAGCATGATCTGTTCTGTCATGGATCCTGCACCACCAAACCGCAACAAACCATCAAAACCTCTGATCAAAAGAGGAACAACAAACGATTGGAGGTGGGGGATATATTATAGGAAAAAATCACCCAGAAGAGCTCTCCCGAATTCGTTCAAGCCTGGAATCGCTCTCAGCAACAACGTGTTCTGCAGCAAAGAAGAACCAGTCCCAGATCCAAATCACACTCCACGAAGCAAGTGATCAGAAATACAGAGGGAGAAGAGGAGAATTTGAAGGACCTGTTTATCAAGAGGATGACGGAAATCATCAGCGTCAAGATCTTTGAAGTAGAGAGGAGGAGGAGAAGAAGAAGCTCTGCAAATAACCCTCCATCTCTTTTCCTTGTTCGATCCCAATCTTCTGTCGTTCCGTGACGGGTGACCGTACTTGGATTCGGTCGTTCGTCTGTACCCGAAACGACGACGGAGGTCTCCGTTTTGATGGTCGTGAAAGAGGAAGGAAACAGGACCCGAGACTGAGACCGCCATGAGAAGAGGAGAGGAAGCTGGTTGGAGGAGGCGCAGGTTAGTGACCGTTTTCTATCATGCGCCGTCGTCTCTGAGGGGGATAGATATTTGACTGGGTAGGGGAGTTTCGTACCGGAGACGGAAAACGTTCTCCGTCCACAGCCGTACCTATGTGGTTTACATTTGACGCGCGTTCGTTTTCCTTTTTTTTTTGACTTTCAGCGCTCTTCATCCATCCCTGTTCAACGACGTCGTTTAATTAATCTTCTGAGCGACGTCGTTTGCGATCCTACCCTGGGAATTCCACACATAACGGGACGATTTTAATGGAATTAAACTGAATTTATTAAAATTAAATAATCGAATTTAAATTTATTATAATCAAATGAATCGAATCTGAATTAACGGTAACTGAAAGACAATTTTGACAAATACGGAATCCATCCATTACACCAAAAACAGTGATCACTTAGTTCTTGTCGCAACTCTTCTTACAGATACATAATTAATTCTTCCGAGAGTATATTACATCTCACATATGCAGACAAACCATGCAACTTACAGTTTACACATTGGAAATGCCTCTCTCTGTCCCCTAATGTCCTAAGACACACATCCTTTGGTAACACAGCTCAACTCCAGGATTTCTATTGAAACCCGAAAAGCTTACGCTCCATGGTATAGTATAAAGAATAACTCTTCAGTGGTACTGCCGATGAAGATGCTCAGCCAAACACCATTTTGCACACAGTTTGCGTCAGTGGTCAGCTTATTGAGAGCCGGCCTGTTCGCAGAGGTCTAGCAGATCCAGTGTCTGCATTATCATCATCATATCATTCACAGTATCAATCTCGATTCACAAATGCTGATGCAGCAAGTGAACAGTGTGAATACCACACACCTCAGGAACAGAGAGCTCAAGGCGGAATTTCGGACCATCATAGTGATGAAGAACGGGCCGGAATGCGTCCTCCTCCAATGCATTGCAAACTTTCCTGACTCGGATCCTAACCTGATAGAGTCGAGAACAGAAAATTCAGATTTTCACACCATATCAGACAAGCAATTCCCCTGCGCTTTCACATATAAAACATAAAGGGAAAAAAAAACGGTAACTGCAGTTTTAAGTTTTCACCTGGGCCGGAAATCTTGATTCCCCTTTGCATTTTTTGTCTTCCCAAGCAGTCGGATCGATGTTTGTACCACCAAAGCTTGTTGCCTGTGCTAACAAAAATCATGTCTCAGACACCAAAAACAAATCTGCAGAATTTCCATTGATGTTATATAAGAAAGCAGTTGACAAACCTCGAAGATACCGTGCAACTGGTGAGTGGTATAATTGTAAAGAAACAGAGGTAATCCAGGTGTTATCGCCCGGACAGAGTCTCTGTATCTTGGAGGTAAACCTTACAAAACAAAATTATACTATGATTAGTTGATAACTTGAAAGGAATCTACATGTAAAGAGATCTTAATCCGAGTAAAAGACAACGAAAAGTAAGTTGGAATTACCGAATAATTGACGTTTCAAATCTTCCTGCATGGTGTCATTGTTGCAAACGAATATGTAGCCCCCAAGCACTTCATTTCTGGGTAGTATCTCTGATGCTGGCAAGGTTTTGAACCTCTTGTCCACAGCTGAATTCACATTAGCGTTATCATTGCTGTTCTTGTTGCTGGGCTCTTTGTGGGCAACAGCATTGCCGATATACTTGCTAATGTTCAGATTCCCCATGTTTTTTATGTTCGTCTTAGGGAAACCGGTATTCATTTTGTGGAGAATACCACTTTGCATAGAAGATTTTCCCATGCTTTCCCCGGAATCAGCATCCAAGTTCAGCATGTTAAAGTTAAGGCTAGCTTCCCGAAACCCGAATTTCTCGCTTGGCCTAACTTCGGCAGGGAGATTGGAGAGATCAAGGTTGATCATCCTCTCCCCCTTTGATCTAGTTTGCTCAGCCATCTTTGATACAGCCATCAACCATTTTTGATCCTCTGATGCTCTGGTCTGGCCTCGAAGCTCATCACCCAGTTGCCAGTAGCTATCCATGGTTCAAAACCTAAGCAAGACAACAAATAAAGATTAAAAGCAGAATCATCAAAAATGGAAAATAATACAAGGATATTATCACATAATGTTTGTAGATATGCTTAGATCTTACAGAGGACTTTACCTAGATTTGATCTTATCACATCTTCCTATTTAAGATATCACTCAATATAGAACTCTCTGTAAGATCTAAACATGATCCGAGCAGATTCAAAGCAATGGTTTACTTCCAATTTCTCCATCCATGATGTGAAGAACATATCATCAATATTCGAAAACGCTTCAGTTCAGAACTGACCGACAAACAGGGAAAACGGGAAACAAGCGAGTCAAGTTCGATCAAATAGATGAAAGTCAACCAAGTGCTTCGAAACCGACCACAACACGGGGAAAAAATCCAACCATTTTCTCGCCACTCCGACATAAACACGGAAGTTCTACTCCAGTTCCCGACGCAGCATTCAACCACGGAAACCCAAATAATGGGCCGAACTAACAACATTTGCTATAGCTAAATTCAGACGCTAATCATCCATTTCACAATAAAACTTCAAGGAAATTTAAAGACGCACACCCAGATTCATCATCAGACATTCGAGAAATAGAACGAAGAAACAAAACGCCCGGATTGAGAAAGATTTTGGCCCGTGGTGTAAACTGATCCCAGGGCTTAAATCCTAGGATCTTGTCCGAAAATCTCATCGGATAAACACTGAAGCAAACAAGATTCACAGAGATTTTGGGATACGGAAGAGAGAGTACCTTTCTGGAAATTCGCCGGACGTGAAGAAGATGCAATGGGCGAGAAACACGTCAGAGGGAGAGGAAATCACTGATTTATGTGAGTTGACTTTATAATTAGCCCTCGGTTTCTTGTTTAATTACGCTCTTTGCCACTGCATCATAAACTACGTCTCAACGGCCCAATTAAAAGCCCATTTTGGAAAAGACACGTGGTTCAAGCCTACCATCTTTCTCCCCCCCCCGGATGATATGCGAAGAACCGCCTTGCGATCTTCACTCTGTTTTTTCTTCTGCATGAATCATCGTTGTTGGGTCGCCGAGGCAAAAGTTTAGAGGCACGAATTGGTGCTTGTCGAAGCTGAGAAGCCATGGATATGCAGAGTGATTTCGATAGGTTGCTGTTCTTCGAACATGCTCGCAAAGCCGCCGAAGCTACCTACGCTAAGAACCCATTAGACGCCGATGTTTGTGTTTCTCCGTCCTTGAATCATATGATTTCGTGGGTTTGGTTTGGTCGGGCTTGATTTTGTCTGGGATGTATTGGGTCCTCGAAAAATCGGGTTTTTGGGGTTTTGGTTACGGGGAATACGAGGAATATGGTGGATAATTCAGGTTTTCGGGAGATCTGTTAGTGATTTAATGGAGAAAATTGAATAGGGTTTTTCGACAACTGTGTTTATGCGTGGTTTTTGCAGAACTTGACGAGATGGGGAGGGGCTTTATTGGAACTGGCCCAGTTTCAGAGCGTCTCAGATTCAAAACAAATGCTGCAAGGTGCTCTCTCTCTCTCTCTCTCTCTTTTTTGGGGCTAAATTTGACTGTGAATACTCGTATATGTTTGATTTTGCACTAGTTTTGATCCTAATTCGGATTGATTTGCTTGAATTCTCGTGTTAATGGATGTTTGATCATGAGAATTTGTAGGTTTCTTTCTCCCCAGCTGTTTCTTGATTTGTTTTGTTTTACACTTTTATGCCAAACTTAACTTCTCTACACTCTTGTCGATCATCACTAAACCTTTAGGCTGGTTAAAGGCTTAATTGTGATTAGACCTGCCTAAACCTAAATTCACATGTAAATGGTTCAAATTGATTGGCTATAAGGACTGTTAGATCTCCTTAGCTCCTGCTTCCTCCTTAGCTGTTGACTAATTCATAATAAACTGAGATTTTATTTTCTTATACATTTTCTTGTTAATGTCAAATAAATTTGTGCAGATGCCATCTCGAAGCTGGAAGAAGCCTTGTCGGTGGACCCGAAGAAACATGATGCTCTTTGGTGCATCGGGAATGCTCATACCTCTTACGCGTTCTTGACGCCTGATCCGGATGAAGCTAGAGTTTACTTTGATAAAGCTACTCAGTTTTTTCAAAGAGCGGTGGATGAGGTACTTTCTTTTATGTTGATTGTAAGATCACTCAAATCGATATTCATAAACTCCTCGGTGTATGATCTCGAATGTGTGATGTTTCATTCTTTTAATTTTCGCAGCAACCAGAGAACGAACTCTACCGGAAATCACTGGAATTGACAGCCAAGGTACTTCTCTACCCTCTACTGTATATTACCACACCAGACCTTGGAAGGTCTTTGTACCCTGCAATGATCACTTTGCTTCCTCTACTGACCCGATTCGAAATATGTATTATACTATTATTAGAGCTTTGCGTGCTGTGGGTGTTGCTCTAGTTATGGCTGTGTCTTCTGTTATGAGCTATTTTGGTTTATTGAACTGTGAAATATATTAGGTTTTACGATTTGACTGTGAATAAACTATCTTTTGGGAGTGGTCTGTAAGCTCAAGGATTTGCATAAGCCATCTTGAAGGATGTTTTGAATGGATCTTGTTGGATCATCAAAATGACCATTGCAGCTGAAACTTAAACTTTGCCTCTAGGCAATCGATAGCGGCTTTTCTCAAGGTTTTGTTTGGAAAGTTGAACACTTTGGAGGAATCTCAAATCGATACACATAAAAAAAATGTAACTTCATGCCACCAATGATGGAATCATCAAAAAGCTATGGCTTTTGTCTATGTTTCATTCTTGAATACGACTTCTGTTCAGGCTCCAGAGCTGCACGTTGAAGTTCACAAACATGGCGGTTTAGGCCAACAAGCCATGGGAGCAGCCGGACCTTCCGCGGCTTCAAGTTCAAAGGTTCGTCCTTTACTTCAGTTTATGTTCGCTTCGTCACATTTTTACTTCCTCGCCGTGGAACCACAACAGATCCAACTACACTAATTGACAATCTTCAGAGCCCGTCATATAATCATATGAAAAGCCTCTGTTTGCTTCCTTTGTTGCAGACATCGAAGAAAAAGATGAGCAGTGATCTGAAGTACGATGTGATCGGATGGGTAATCTTGGCTGTCGGAATCGTTGCTTGGGTCGGTTTTGCTAAATCTCAGATTCCGACAGCTCCTCCTCCTCCTCCACGATAATGGAAACAGAGAATTACCGCTGGGGGTTTTTCCTTTGTCAAGCTGACCGTATAGTTTGTGGAATCACACGTATATTTTAACCCTTCACTCCACTTTCTGTATTCTCTGTGTTATCATTTTCAACATCATTTGTACTTCGAATTCAATCTCGTCTTCAAGCTCCATGAGCCTTTGAATCTTGTTTTCCGACCAAACCAATTTATATATGATAATATGACGAGGAATAATGAGTGGTGGATGAAAGTGGGCGCTGCGCGTGATTTCGGATAAAAGTTGAGGGCATTTTCGACATTCTCTTGTATTCGTTGCCTTTGCCCTCTTTCCTGTCTCTCTCTCTCTGGTTCTGTAGCGAAGGCGAAATCGAAGTTTCGGAAATGGCGTCTTCGTTGCAGAGCTCAGGAATGTTGTCTAAGGACCAGCTGGTTCATCTCTTCGATCGGTTTGATTTTTTGACATCGCAACCTGGTATTCTGGATCTAAGCTCTTTTGTTTTTTGCAATGTTTTTTTTAATCTTCTATTTGAACAATTTCCCCGAATCCATCGATTCGCATGTTCCCCACTCTTCTCTCAGATGTGAAGAAAAGAATCGCCGATGCCGTAGAGGATAAACAGGTGAATCTTCTCTGTCGTATTTGGCTCGATTTTTGCATTAGTTTCTGGTACCTGTCTCTGGGGATTTCGAATGCTATTGCTCTTGTCATTGCGTCTTCAGACTGGATGAGATCATACGGAGCGATGCCTCTGCATTTCGGGTCTTATCTCGATTTTGCTTATGTAATAGTTTCCTAAATTCGGTGAAGGTCATTGAGATTTGTATTGGTGCTATTGGATTTGGGGATGTTTGCATGAGAATATTCTAGCTATATATATGTATAGATGTATATGGTGTTTCGATTCGAATAATATTGATGAGGCTATGCATGGGAAAGGAGAATGAAATGGGTGGTTCATAGTTCACGCACTTGCAAAGTGACTTGTGTATGTATACTGATATCATGATCTCTGGTGTTCATGAAATTCCAGTTATTACCTTGTGTATGCAAATTGCTTGAACATAGCAATGAAACCATGCGAATGTATGGATGAATGGATTGGGAAGTTGGTTTTCTCGTGTTTAGTATTTCGGTTTTTGTTTAATCTCTTCTTGAGCATTGATGTATGTAGTGAAATAGCAGTATATACACTTGGAAGTATACCCGGAAACTGTTCTTAATTCTGCTGTGGTTCTGTAAACGAAATCTGATGCAGGAAGCTGTTGGGATTACAACCACCATTCAGGAAGAAATATTCTTGGAGATGGGGGTCGGTAAGAGCCTAATTGTTCCAAACATATGTAATAAATTAGCGTGGACGAGATCATGGTGTTACGATGGATGTAGGGCATAAAAAATGGATAGAATTCGAAATGAGAGTATTGGAGAGAAAATGAGTTAGTATGTATAGAAAAGAAATTACGAGAAAGACGTGGTCATGTAAAATATAGGCCGAAAAAACAAATGTTCCGTTTAGAAACGTAGAGAACATAGAAATAAAAGGGATAGGACTAGACCTAAACTCATTGGAATCGGGTGATTAGTCTTGATTTACTATTTAAAAATTTCGGAGGACTGAATCCAAAATCGAATAGAGAAAAAGAATTGATGAGACCGATTTCAAATAAATTTGGGATTAAGACGCTGTTATTGTTATTGTTGTTTTTGGTGTTGGTGTTTTTTTTGTTTGTTAAAGCTTTCGCATTGGTCATTTAAGTGATGTCGTTATTCACCTTCGCAGATCCAGGGTTTGGCATTGCGTGCTTGGGAAAGCTGAACACTGCGTATGAAAATGATAAAGATTTGATGGTTGGTTTCTACAAGTTCCTCGCAAAGTAAGTCCTTTTCTTCTCTCTCATAGTTTGGAATTTTTGATAATAATGGTGGTAACCTATGGAGATTGTTTGTTCCCTCTAGTAACTCTTGATCTTTAAAAAACGATGATGCTCATTTTACGTACAAGTCTAAACACTTAGAACAGGGAGGAGATGGCATGTGATGAAGCTGAGCTTGGACCAGATGGGTTTGAGAAGAAAATGAAAATGCAGCATGAATTGCACGATCAGGTAACTGTCCTTCTTCTTGGTGTTCTTAAGAAGCAGAAGAAAAAGAACCCTTTGAAGATTTTATGTCTAAACTTCTGGATATGTGCTTATTTCAGCAACTGGAGATGCTGAAACATATGCGCAAATTTCCTCTAGACGATCAATCTGTTATCCTTCAAAAGGTGAGTTCATCTTTTACATTTTCTTTGTTTATATGCCTTTTAAGGTTTCCATAAACGAATCTGAGTTCAGACCTCATCTCTAATTATCGCCACAGTCGACGGTGTGACACATTTCTTGCTAATCATCAATGGCAATAGAGACAATTTTCTTTTTCCTGAATATGAATCATTGATTCTGCCTCTGTGCTATGCATTTCTTCTCTGTCCTTTCTTTAAATCCGACAGCTACGGCAGCAACTGGAAAATGCAGATTTCGACGGGTCGGCGTCAGTGTTGTCAAGAGAGCAGATGGAAGCTGCTGGACGAAGAAGAGTCTCACCTGTTTTTAGGACCCCGTAGTGTCTTCATAAACCCATTCTGATGTTCACCACTGGAACAAAACAGAGTTGATCTTCAATGATTTTGTCTTATTATTCTTACTACAATTAAAAATTCGATTTTTCTTCCTTCTGCGAGTTGGTCAATTGGATTTTGAATATGCTTTCTCAAAAGTCGAGATGGCCGAGTTGGTCTAAGGCGCCAGATTAAGGTTCTGGTCCGAAAGGGCGTGGGTTCAAATCCCACTCTCGACATTTCCTTTATCACTTTTTTTTGCACGATGACGTGGCAGCTTATCGTTCGGTTGACGTGGCAGCCCATGTGGCCACAATCTGCCGAGATGAACGATAAGGAACTGTGAGTGAGAAAGTTCATCCTTCTTCTTCCTCCTCACACAAACCCTAACTGCTCGCTCCTCCGTGAGTGTTATCCTAAACCACATCTCTATTGACCTGAACAATTCGACGAGCCTACTTTCCTGTTTCTTCGCCAGCTTCTGTGGTACAATTGTTGCTTAATTTTATTTATTTATTTTGGGTTCTCAGGAACAATGGCGACTGCTACGTCGATGAGCTTGAATCTGGTTGGGGCGTTCAAAGGCTTGTCTGTATCGTCTCCTTCGTCTTTCTTCAGAGGCGATGTGAATCTGTTGTGCCCTAGAATGGTGACGCTGCCGAAGCAGAAAATCCAGGCCCCTGTCCCGTTGACGATCGAATCGGCGCACAAGAAGGGAGCAGGGAGCACTAAGAACGGCCGTGATTCTCCCGGACAACGGCTCGGCGTTAAGATCTTCGGCGACCAGGTCGCCAAGCCTGGCTCCATCATCGTCCGCCAACGTGGCACCAAGGTACTGGTTTGTGAGTGTACAGACCCCTTTGCCATTCAGATGGACGATGCTAGTCAAAGCATTTTTTACTTTTCTGAGTCTAGGAATTCTGAGTGTGTGATAATGAGTGAATTCTACCATCTAGGGTTCGTAATGTTCATTAGAGTTTGAAACTTGCCTGGTTTCCTCTTGTTGTCGGAATAAAATAGCATTGTTTACATGGATTTCCAATGTGGGGAAAGTGTTCGGATTGGCAATAGATACAAGAATCCTGGGTCTTGTAGAACTCCCAATTCGATATTAGATCTACTAGGACTCTGAATTGAAGTGCAGACTTTGGATGTGGGTTTGGTTTTAATCTTGTTTCTGTTAGGATCTTTTGTGGAATTCCTCCATGTGATTTACCATGGATGATAAAGGAGTTTTATGTCTTGACATTCCCCCTTTCATCGTTCCTCAGTTTCACGCGGGGAAAAACGTGGGGCTTGGCAAAGATCACACAATATTCTCCCTGATCGATGGAGTTGTGAAGTTTGAGAAGTTTGGTCCCGATAGGAAGAAGGTATGCCTCAATGCTGTTGTGCAGCTCTACAACAAGCAGATGGAAATTCCCTCTCTCCCTCTCTCGATGTGGAGATACTAAAACGCGTGATGTGTAGGTGAGCGTGTATCCGAGGGAAGTGCAGCCGGAGAATCCCAACAGCTACAGGGCAAGGAAGAGAGAGTATTTCAGACTGCAACGGGAGAAGAAGAAGGCCAGACGCGAGGGTTTCGCTTCTCAGCCACAGTTAGTGCTTGCCTCCGCCGAGGCTGCTGATGGTCTCCAAACGAATCCATCTTGCTGATCATCCCAACTCTTGTATCCCCTTTTGTGAAAACTAAACACTGTTTGTCCCTCAGTTTTAAGTCGTTTATTTAATGAGACATAGCGTCGATATGTTGGAATTCTCTCGTCCGTGATAATAGAATCCCAAGAAATTAGTACTTGGGAATTTCACGTCTAATGTGGTATTAATCGTCGATATGTCCGAGTGGTTAAGGAGATAGACTTGAAATCTATTGGGCTTCGCCCGCGCAGGTTCGAACCCTGCTGTCGACGTTTTCTTACGAGATGTGATTTTTTTTGGCCCAGAAATTATTGGGCCTGAGCTCTCTTTTAAGTTTTAATGAGCAAATTCGTCGGTTTCCCAAATTTATTTTGTGGTGCACTTCCTGGAGATCTTACCCTCTCTCTCTCTCTTGTTTTTTTTCTTTCTTTGTGATAATTTTATTATTGTTTCAGTGATAGTTGTTGTGTACAAAATTTAAGATTGATGACAAATTTTCAAAGCTACGAAGAAGACTCAATCTCATTCTACACACGAAATGGAACTTGAATAATTTGCTCCTAAAGTGCACAAATAATGGCGACCTAAAGTGTGGGCGGCCACTTTTGCATGCTCCAAATCCAAATCCATTTTTTAAATTTAAAAAAAAAACAAGTGCATGTGATTTTTGAGGAATTTGAATCCAATCTTTACTTGATCCCAAAATTTGTCACTTTCCCCTCTCCAACTTTGTCCCTTTCCTCCCAAAGCACTCTTTCTCCCACACCACTTTCCATATTCTCTCTCTCTTTTCTTGGCATAGAAGCAAAGCCTATCAGTTTCTCCACATATATAAACTTGTTTCTGTATGTATGTGTGTGTTCATGTTACTCCATTGCAATCATCATTCTTTGAAAGAAAGCCATAATCTTTGTAATCCACCGTTTTATATGGTATCAGGGTGCTTCTCATTTTCTGGAATCGGTTTCTAATATTTCCATTTCAACTTGTAACCCAATTCGCCAAAACCCAATCTTTAGTCTCTTCTGTTATTGTACATACATACATACATACGCACATACACATATATAGATTGACAGAAAGAGAGAGAGAGAGATCATGTCAGACTGGGGACCGGTGTTCGTGGCGGTGGCGCTGTTCGTGTTGCTGACGCCGGGGTTGCTGATTCAGATTCCGGGAAGGAGCAGAGTGGTGGAGTTTGGGACATTTCAGACAAGCGGTGTCTCTGTTCTTGTTCACTCCCTCATCTACTTCACCCTTGTCTGCATCTTCTTTCTTGCCGTCCATGTTCACATGTACATCGGTTAATTCCTCTTTACGTAAAAAAAAAAAAAGAATTGTAATATGCACATAATACATTTAGATGTACTTTAACTCCTTTGAAGCGCCCAAGAAGGGATTTGTTTTTTTATATAAAAAATGAAAAAATCTTTCCCTTTCCATCGATTCTCGCGTTCTCTCTCGCTCTCTCTCTCATCGTCACTGCTATAACGCGAAAGGCGAAGCCTTTACTGTAAACTGTGAAACGACACTGATTCTGGCGTCTCCTTCGTGGCATCAATGGCGGACTGGGCTCCGGTTCTCGTCGGCGTTATTCTCTTCGCGATTCTCTCGCCGGGACTTCTATTCTCGTTGCCGGGAAGCCACCGGACTCTCGAATTCGGCAGCCTGAAAACCAACGGAAAAGCAGTCGCCGTTCACACGCTCATCTTCTTCGCCATTTACTCCATCTTGATCATCGCCGTCAATCTCCACATCTACACTGGTTAAATCTGATCTGAATTTTTCTTTTTCCGGTGAAATCAAAGGTACCCATCTCGAAGCTCTCTCCAGGAATCTTCTGAGATTTGTTGTAACTGTTTGTCTTAGGGTTTTGTACTCTGTTCTGTTGTAACTGTTTCTCTTAGATTTGACGAAACAGCTGTTGCATTGTGCATCGAGTATACTGAAATGTAGCGCAAATTTCTAAAATTTGTGGTGATATATACAACTTGCGTTATCTTACGAGTTCTTTCATTTAGTTTCTGGGAAAAAAAATTGGAAGAATATACAAAACTATGATTTCGAGAAATTAAAGTAAGCTGTGTTTTGATATGTTTTTAGTATGATCCGCAGATTTCAGAGGAAAGTGAGGTTAGAACTGAGTTTATTTGCTTAAATTGTTGGGAAAAAATTATAATCCTGTCTCATCCTGCTTGAAACCAACCATATTAGCAGGAGTTCAAGATTATCAGAGAACAAGAAAGTTGAAAGAGACAACCTTTGACCAAAAAAGAGGGAAAACAAAAACAGACTGAAGTTTTCTTTACATCAGCTTCTGGGAGAACAAAGGGTTCTTGTTACATCAGAAAGAAGAGATTCAGATTAGAAATGGATGTGGATTCCAATGGCAATCACTAAGATCGTGAGTATGCAGAAGTATATAACTGCATGGACCAAGATCGCGATCCCGCTCGTGTTCATGTTCCCAAACTCCACTACTCTTGTCCTTGCCGGGAGCTGAAACAGAAGTCCCGGTGATAGCAGTATGAACAGAACCACTGCCACGACCACCGGCCCCCAGTCTGCACTCATATCTTCCCTTACGCCGTCTTTCCTCGCTTGTTCAGATTGTTGTTTTCTCTCTGTATGAGTTCTGTTCCTGCAGATGGGGATGAAGATATATGAAAATGGTGCTTTTTGAGTACAGGGTTGGTTTCTTGGTGGCTAAGGAGGTGGCTGATGCTAATATGAGGAAAGGTATTAAATTCCGAAGTGGGTTTACTTTTTTTTTTTTTTTTTTTTGAGCTTTACTTTTCCTCAACTGTTCAATCAAATGCTTCTTTTCTAGGGTTTTCAATTCCACATTGCTTTACAGATTGATCTGAGTTGTGTGCTCTCTCTGCTTTTGGTGGTCTTTGCTTTTGTTAAAGAATTGCTTTAGAGTAGAGATGAGTGCATAAAAAGATGATACCACAAGTTGTTTTGGGTACTCTGTTAACTGAACCAAGAAGGAATGAGTTCAGCACATATTGGCTATTGATATTTGCTCTGATGAACAAGTTTTTAGATTCTTGGCTGTACTGTGATATAACTATGGTAGTCTGAATTTAGGATGGGTTTTGGAATAAGATCGGGCTATCGATATTTGCTGTGAAGATAATAAGTTCTATGAAATCTTTGCTTTCTTGTGTAATAACTGCAATAGTTGTGAACTAAAAGATGTTTGCAGCTTATTTATGGTGAAACTGAACCAAACTTGTGAAAGCATGTGACTTTCCTCATCCCCTTTTGATACTATATAGCTGATGGCATTCCTTTATTCAAGTTCTTCTACCAGAATATTCCATAATTACAGAGTCATACACAGTAGTTACATAGATATGTATGTGTATGTATATATGGTTGATAGGTGAAAGCAGTAGAGAAGCATTGCTTGGATTTCAGAACTGGAGTTTTGTTGCAGTGTCATCTTCAGAGCTCCAGTACAAGATCTGCAAAAGCCGACAGCATTTAGAGTCTTTGCATAGAAATCATTAGTTTTGGGGTCAGATTTTTTTTTTTTTGGTAGAATCTTTTTGACTTACACTCTGAATCAGTGTTGATCCATTTCTCTCTTTTCCCATTTGGACTCTTTCC